CGTTGGCAAACAGCCTTCATTCATTCACAACTTGTTCACGACTCTCTCCTGTCTCCAGGGGCTGGAAGTTTGGGGAGGGCATTTCCCAGGCTCCCTTTCCTGGGAGATATGGGTCGGTTTGCATTTGGCCAGAGCTCTCACATGAGGCCTGAAAGGCAAAGGGGAGATCTGCCATGGCTGGCTGATGGCAAAGGGCCATCATCACCAGGACTTCAGAGCAGGGGCGCCGGGGCACTGCGGGCCATTTGCTGCGGTATCTTCACCTCTGGGTGGCAGCAGCAAGTTGCAGAGTCCTGGATTATATCCGCAGTGATTGTGCTTGAAAGCTAAAGGCAGCCCCACTAATGATCACTTCTCCAGTTTACCGACAGCTTTTGAACATGTAACCCTTATATCAAATCCTTGACGTGTTTTGATTTTTCTTTAATGAATCTTGAGTGTCAGAATATTGCCTGATAAGAGTGGTCCCAGACCTTCCAAAATGGGACTCTCCTATCGATTGTGGTTAGATGACTTGGTTGGTTTTGCATGCAGTGATAACTTCATTTCAACTTAAAATACAATTCTAAGAAAACATATAGTGGCTAACAGTTGCTTAAATGAACACCTACAGCTGCCTGAAATGTAGGGTCTATTGAAGAGAAGAATTTGGGAGAGCAAGTTGGCTATGGCCGTGGAACAGAAAAGAGAATGGAAAAGACTGTGGGGTATGTAGGCTACTTCTGACTGCATTGCAGAGGAGGCCACAAAGGAAGAATGTGACAAGCTCATGAACTTGACGGTCTTGAATCGAGCCACGCTCAGAGACCCAGACAGCCTCCAGGACCCTCCCGCTTGCAGCCACATTTCCTAAGGTCTGTTGCTAAAGTTTGCAAGTTTATGATGCCAGGATGATGCCAAAGCGTTGCCAGGCCTCTTATGTGTAAGTTAAGGACTTTATTCACAAGAGTGGGCCCTGAGAACTGGCAAGAAGACATTTCAGGAGATTTGGGTGAATCTTAGTACTCTAAACCCAAAATTCTCCTGAGACTTCCTTGCGGAAAGAAGTAAGCCCCTCCTCCCATCTGTCCTTCCTCCCAGTGAGCAAATTGTAAGACACGGCCGGTCACTTAAAACCCAGACAGACCATTACTAATGACATGAAGACCTGGACTGAAACAAAGTCCCACTATTTTAAAAAGTAAGAGGGCCCTTCTGTTTAGAGTTTCCCTGCAGTGTTCAGAGAAGATTGCTTTGGAGAGACTAGAGGAGGAAGGGGGAAGAAGAGACCCCTGTGGGGCTGCCCATGAGCTCACGCCACGAACATGCACCTCTGGTAAGACCCTGGGGCTGATCTTTTTGATCAACCAACAAGATGGGAGAATTTTGCCATAGTAGTAACACGATCACATGCACGATAGATGATAGAAATATACATAATTACTTGCTGATTTTGTATAGGTACCATGACTCTGATTTTACAAATACAATAGAAGACCATGATGCAGGCATTGGGATAAAGCTGAACTGAAATGACTGCAATTTTTGGCTGTTCTTTTGCACTTCCTATGAGTGCAGAGGGCTGCCATGATGTTTGAGAATAGGATTCTTATAAATTGGAGAGGGGAAAGAGAAGAGAGATGAGGAGGTCAGGCCTCGGGCTTGGGTGGAGGTGTCAACCAGGCTGCTGCCCTGGCTGCCGTCTCCCGGCCTCTGATGGCTCTAGGATTAGATTTTGCTGCTCTCAGGAACTGATTTCCTAGCTCCCTCAGCCTGTTGCAAAGTGGGGATTGTTTCCCTTTATTTGTCAGCGTCAGAAACATCAAAATAATAGTAAAAATAACCCTAACTATGACAATGAGATTAGTTCTGTTGCATTTATTGAGCACATACCAGGCACCGGAACAAGGTGCTTTTGAAGCATTAGCTTGTTTAGTCCCTCACCATGAGTGAGATATATTAGTGAGATATATTGTTATAATCCCGAGTTAGAGGTTTATAATATCTGGATTTGAGAGAGGTTAAATTACTAGTTCAAAATCACACAGATAATTAATGATGGAGCTGAGACGTCAGCCTGGGCTTTTCTGGCTGGAAAGCCCCAGACTTGAACCGCTGTCCTCATCCTGACTTCCCTTCGCCTCACACGGCCTTACGTCCTGTGCGTTTTGTCTGTTCCCTATCTTCCAAATCCAGCCACTTCCCGGCACCCTCACTCTAATAATAAATGCTGTGATCTTTCTAAAGAATTGCTGTAGCAGCCTCCTAACAGGTCTACCTTTACCCATTTTGGCCCCATTTCTAATCTGTCATCTGCATTATAGTCCAAGGGAAAATTTCAAAACATAAATCTTCCCATGTTGCACCACCTACCGAAAACACTGAAATGACTCCATGTAAAGACCCAACTCTCCGGGCCAGGTTTTAAGGCCAGCACAGGCTGCCCCTCACTCCATGCTGGGCCTCCAGGAGTCTGTGGTTCCCTGACGGCTCTTGCCCCCTCCCTTGCTTGCTTTTCTGTAGCCTCCTTCTGCAGTCTTCCTCAGTTCCTCAAACGCATCACGCACTTTTCTTCCACAGAACCTTTGCCTAGGCTGTTCCCTCTGTCTGGAATGCTCTTCCAGATGCCAACCCTACCCCTCTTTCACTTAGTGAATGCCATGCTTTCTGAAGATCACAGTTCAAGTGTCACTTCCTTAGCAAAGTCTTTCTAATCTCCAAATTAAATGAATTCCCTTCTTTGAGAGGTCTCATGACAGCATTCGCCTCTTCTTGCAGGTTGAGGTTTTATAATTGTCTGTGTGGTTCTTTGATGCATGTCTATCTACCTGATCGTACTGAAAGCTCTATGAAGGCAGGAAACAGGTCAGGATTTTGCTTACCCCTGTAGTCCCAAGGCGGCGGATGACATTTGGTGTATGCTACGTTTTCAAACAACAGTTGTTGAATAAAGGAAGGTGCAGCACACTTGCCTGGAGTGTATGAAAAAGACAAGCCTTTAAAAAAAAAGTCTATAATGCGCTTGGTCTTCCTGGAGAGGGTAACGTTTGCTGAGAGTGGAAGTCCAGTTCATCAGGTGGCCAATGCCAGCCAGACCGCCCTAGGTCCCTCCCTGCCCGAGCCTGGAAGAACAGCAGCGAGGTCTAGTTAAGGAGTTTCAGGTGGTGGGAGCAATGCTTGAGGTTTACAGCTTAAGTGCCTCACTTCTCAGGTAAGTCAACTTAAGGAAGCGATTGCTTAACACATAAAGTACAGCTTCTTACACTATCCTCAGAAGCCTTCAGGGTGAATTGGTTATCCATAATGATTAAGTAGAAGTGAGTCCAATCCTTTTCTCCTGAGTGGTAGGTCTAGAAGTTTGGATCCCAGTCTGGTGGCTACCCAGGCAGAGGGTGCTATCTGGAATGACTAGGTTGTCTCCACAAGGAGCTCTGGGTATCTGTAGTGAGAGTCAGCTTAGGCAGAGGCAGAGGCAAAATATGCATTGAGACTGATCCCAAACACTGCCCTCTCCAGGCCTAACTTGAAGGTCTAACAAGTCTTGCAATTAGAGATGGATTCTTTGGCTTATAAATGAAAGATAACACATCGGATTACTCTACTAGATTCATTTCAGATGCAGTCATGATGCTTAACTATGGAGACATGTTCTGAGAAATGTGCTAGGTGACTTTGTTATTGTGTGAACTATACAGAGGAAATGTACACAAACCTAGATGGTCAAAACTACTGCACACCTGGGCTGTACGGTAGGGCCTGTTGCTCCCAGGCTACTGGCTTGTATTGCGTGTTACTGTACAAAACAAACCAAGGTTAAGTCAAGGACAAGAGAAAATGATGCAATCAGAAGAAGTGGTAAGCTTGAGATACCTGAGGCTGCTGCCAGCATAACATGACACACTGTTTTATGGCAAACTTTGTTTTTGTAGGTAGAGAGAGTATACTAAAATAATGATAGAAGTATTTCAGAAAGACTCGCAAAACAGTATAGTACAGTAAATACTAAACCAGTGACATAGTCACTGATTAGCATGATCAAGTATTATATACTGTACCTGGTCGTATGTGCTACTTATAGGACCGGTGGGGCAGTAGGTTTGTTTACAGCAGCATCGCCACCAACACGTGACAACCTGGTGTTGCACCAAGACACTGGCACAGCTGTCATGTTCCTAGGTGGTAGGAACTTTTCAGCTCCACAGTCACCTTATGGGACCACCGCGTATACGCAGCCTATTGTTGACCAAAACATCCTTATACGGCCCTTGACTATTATTATTTTGATGGCACCCAGCAGGAAGAGAATTGGAAGGGAATGCAAAGCCAAATAGTGATGTGTTGTCAGCAGCGAGTGAGGGACAGAGAAACGTTTGCTCCGTAAGCCAGCCCTTCCATTCAGCAAATTTGGAGGATAGAAAACTGTTTTGTTCAGATTGAGAATCCGAGGGCGTAATTATTATGCTGAGGATGATTGCGACATAGTTTCAATTATTTTACTTGTCACAGTCCTGTTGGACTTGGACTTCGTTGTCGGTCAAGAGAGACTGTGTTTGACTTTGCTTGGAAACCATAAAACCACAACAAAATAATTCTCCCCATGCTACTAGGCAACACCGGGATCTCTCCTCCACCATGAGGACTTGCGATAGAAGACTCAAACAGACTGAGATGGTGCATGTGAAAAAAGTGCAGGCAATTCTTCAGCATCCTCTTCATGAATAATCGGGCATAAATATGATTAAGATGTGAAGTTCCTTCTCGAGAGAGCTAAGCTTTACAAACGGCAATAACAAAACCCCTGTAAAGTCTGGCTGGTCTCCCCCAAATTATATTTGCTGCTGCGTTGACAGTCCAAAGGTCAGCTGTTATTATCTCTTTGAACGTCGTTGTAGACTAAGGGGCCGGTGGAATGTTCTTACTGAACTGCATCACTTCCTTCCTGGGACCATCGGGGCACTTCCCCAGCCTTTCAAGATAGGTTCTGCTCCAAAAGGTCAACGGCGCAGTGGAAACCCAGGCCAAAAGTTAGCAGCCGGTTGCAGCGCATCTTCTTGCTGGGGCCATTTCCTTCCTCCTCAACTCCTGGGAGGTGAACCCCGCGGAAAAGCTCACCCAGAGGGTGGGTTGCAGCACTGGCTTTGCAGCTGCGGAGAAACGCCGGAGGCCGTGCATCTCCAGGAGGTAAGGCGGGCCTGCCAGACAGCTTCCAGGCTCCCTCCTCTGCTCATCCAGGGACCAGCGCAACCTGGCGCCTGGCGCCGGGCGCCGGGAGTGGGGCTTCGGGCCGGGAGGGGTGTGGCGGCTCAGGATAGTGCGGGGGCTGACCTGAGGGCTGAACCCACCACCCAACCTTCCCCTCAGAAAGGAGCACTAGTGTGTGTGTCTGGTGGGGGGGGGGGGGGCGGTGCGCAGGGGGTGGAGGGGGAGGCCTAAAACCCCAGGGTGCATCCGGAAGGAGGACCCGATTGGAGAGGGAGGGTAGAGTCGCGCGGAGCAGCTGGGCGCAGAGTGAGCGAGTGTGTGCGAGCGAGCCCGGGGGAGCGCGGCTGCGGATCCGGAGCCGGCCCGGCGCGTTGCACTCCGTAACCGTAACCCGGGTGGCCCGGCTTCCCGCAGCCCTGCAACCGCGCCCGGGGCTGCGGAGACCGCGGCTGGCCGTTCGCTCGCGGCGCTGCCTGGAACCTGAAGCAGCCCCCGGGGAGAGAGAAGGTAAAAGGCAAGGGGGCGGAGGTAGGGGAAAGGAGTAAAGGGAATGAGAATGTGGGTGCAAGCCGAAGAAATTGCAGACAAAATTGCAAGCAAGTTTGTACTTGCACGCTCGGGTTGTGCGTGCTTGACGGGAAGGAGGGGGTGATGGTGGCAGTGATGTGTGTACGTGTGACAGACACTCTTGGATGAGGAGACAGGAGGTGAGGAGCGTGCTCCTGGCATCTTGTACGTAGTTGTCCCTATTAATACCCCCCCCCACTTGTCATTTCCGCTCGTGGCACATCTTTGGGCTCCAATGATGAAGAAGCAAAAGGCAGCCACGCTCTTATTGTGATGGTCGGCACTGTTGCTACTATCGGACGGGAGATGTAGGGCGTGGAACGCATTCTAGGAGCCTCCCTTCCTCCACCCCCGACTATTTTAGGAAGGGCTGGGGGAGGGGGAATGGGTCGCACAGCCCGGGGCTGGAAGCCTGAGCCGAGGCCGGGGCTTCAGACTTGACTCAGCTGCCACCTAGCAAATGCTTCCAGGGAGAGCCTACGCTAGAGGGCCAGATAACTTTCATCTCCTCTCCAGACAGAGATTTTGCATTGCTGCCGGAGGAGTTCTGTGAAATGGTGTTTCCCAGGGCGGCAGGTGCGAGGCAAGGGGGCAGGGAAATAGTGCAGAATAAAGCCGCCATCCGCAGCAAAGCAAAGAGAGACCTTTGGAACTCGGGTTCCCTGCGCTGCTTCGATGACACCGTGGATGCCGCCAGCTCAGGCCCTCTTCCATATGTAGAGGCAGGCAGGTCCAGCCCGGCGAGAAGCATCAGCCGTGACACCGGCCTCAGCATCCTGGAATGTTCACTTCTTAGCTTCCCAGTTCCGAGGGGAAAACGTGGATGTAGCTGCAGTTTTCCTTTGAAGGTTAAGAATGTTCAACATGAATTATTGTTTTTATTGCTGCCTGTGTTTGCCTATGTGAGCCACCTTCCTAAAGGAAACATTTGTATACAGAAGCCAGACCTATCCAAGAGAAAGTGTAGCAATTCTCAATCAGACACAGGTTATTAATATGACCCTCATGTGCATAAAATGCTGATTTCACCATGAGTCATGAGGCTGGTTCTTTGAGAGGCTTGCTGTTCCCCATCATGAAAAAGGTTAATAGTGCAGATAAAAAGTTCCTGACATCACCAGAACAGTGTAATAGCCCACATCTAGTGTGTGTGTGTGTGTGTGTGTGTGTGTGTGTGTGTTTGGATCTGTTCATTCTTTGAATCTGTTCATTACTTTGTGGCGAATTTAGAATAAAATGTGCCAGACCAAGGCTAACTTAATATGGTTCACGCAGAAGATAAAGGCACATCTTGGCTGACTCGGATACTATTGCTGGCCTTTGAAAATATTTGTTCAGCTTTTGTATTATAGTCTATCTTTCTGTTTTTAAATTAATGAATTTATTTTATTGTATTTTTCCCCCACTATCATTCGGTCCCCTTATATCCCCCTTGCCCACCCCCTGCAATCACCACAGTGTTGTCCATGCCCATGAGTCCTTTTTCCTTTTTGCTCCATCCCTCTACCCTCTACCCCTCCCTCCTTAGCTGCCATCCTGCTCTCTATGCATGAGTCTGTCTCTATTTTGCTTGTTAGTTCAGTTTGTTCATTAGATTCCACATATGAGTGAAATCATATGGTATTTGCCTTTCTGTGACTGGCTTATTTCGCTTAGCATAATGTTCTCCAGATCCATCCATGCTGTTGCAAAGGGTAATTTTTTTTTCTTTTTTATGGCTGATGATCTTTCTTAACTAAAGATTCTTCACACTGGTTTATTTCTGTCATCATTGTCCCCATATCAAGAGTTCTCATTTGATTCTCTCCTGCAAAGGAGTAGGGGTAGGAGAAAGGTAGTTTGCCATTGAACAATTTTTGAGAATTGCTTGAATGGCACGTGTAATGTGCTACCCTAGGGCCTGCTCTCTGATAATTATGCAACAGCTTCTTGGAAATGAGAGGAGGTGTAACTGTAACAGGATGTACGCAGCTCACGATGGGGCAAGGTTGGTAGCATTTTCTTGGGTGGCTCCCACTCTAGACGCTACAGCCACACCCTGTGGCCTGAAGGTGACAGGCACAGGACCCTGGGTTCCCCTGTGAGGAAATCTGAGTTTCTCTTCCTCTACAGTGTGCTCGTGGGTCCTTCTTTGTGGGCTAACCCGACGAGAGCCAGTGCTTGGCAAGGAGCGTGGTATGGACTCCAGCAGGGTCTGGTAGAAAGGCAGCTGATGTCTCTGGGCACGATTAACACTCCAAGCTCACAAAACCGAAGTGGAATTATGACACGGTATCTTTTAGGGCAGTGAGTTCTGTACTTTGTCTTTTGATGACTGGTTTGTGTTTTTGCTCTTCCAGGGTAAGGCCCAATTCTTAGGTTTCCCTGAATATTTCATACCAGTGAATAATTACCAGCACTACTCACGGATACCCCCACACATACATTAGTACTATATTTATAATAACTCCAGGGTGTCCCTCTTCTTCCGTTTATCCATCTTCCATCTTTAGACCATTTAGTCATCTTAGTTTTTTTTTTATTAATTAGTACCATCACTAAAGGGCGAATAGAGAAAAACAATAATTAAACTTAAAATTAGACACTTACGAAACTCATTCCAGCAAAGAACTTACATAGAAGGAGGTTGAAATGTATTCATTAGCTTTTTTTATTTTTGTTTAATAGTAGATGTTAATAGCAGTGCTATTCTTGAACATTCTTAGCCAGCTGATTAAGAAATATCCAGACTTCACATATACTCCAGCAAAGTGCTGAGAATCCGTCTATGCTTGATGGTGTCAGTTCATCTTTTGCTGTTGGAAATGAGCCATATCATCTTTGGTTGTGGCAGGGTTTGGAAGTTTCTGCTGTGGCATGCCTAAAAATTTAGTTGCCTAAAAATTTAGTTGCATTGCTTTAAGATGTATTCTTGTGACCTAGTCGTGTTTCTTCTAGAGTTTTTTTTTCGTGTAATCCTTTTTGGGAGCACAAGTGAGAGATTGCTTTAGTAGCCAGTTGTCCACTATGCTTGCTCAGCCCAGAAAGGTCGCTTTGGGGGGTGACTTGCGGCTGTGCTCCCCACAGGTAGCAGGTGTTAAGAAGAGTACGCTGTTTAGACGGGAGAGTCCCACATAGCAGGTGGTTTAAAATCCCTCTGCATCCTGCCCAATAAATACAGCAAATGGTTATTGATTGAGCATTCAGCTTGTTTCCACAGAACCCTGTGTTTCTCCATTATACCACTCACTCTACTTTGTTGTAATGTTGATTTATCCTCTCCTCCTGTGGTACGTAAGCTCTGAGAGGGGCTTATCTGTCTTGTTCACTGCTATTTACTTAGTGCCATTGTCAAATAGTTTCTCAGTACATTTTTGCTCTATGAAATAATAAATACAAGAACCTTACCTCTCTGTTAGATATGGTGGATGTGCTTAGCTACATGGTACTCTCAGTTCCTTTCTGCTGGAAAAATTTGGAAATGGTGCCGAGACTGCTCATGGGTACCAAACCCAGCAATGTCCACTTAATTTCCCTTTTCCATCCCAGCACCCAGCTCCCTTCACCTTCCCCTACCCCTCACCTATCAAAATGAGCTATTAAAATGTCCCGCACCTATTAAAACTCTTTTGATTACCCTGGGACTAGGGAGCATCTTGACAGTGCCGAACCTTCCTCTGATTTCTGGGCCCATAGGTCACACCCACCACCACTGCTAGGGAATCAGTCAGTCAGTCAGCTCAAGGAGTAAACTTTAAGATCTCAGGACCTTGTACCAGTAGTTGTCTTAGCTGTCACTTGTGCTGCCGCTGGTTTTGGAACTGAAAAGCACACTTGAGAGCATGTCTTCACCTTAGGCTACTGTCAAATTGCGGTAGAGAAACCGAGGGCAGGGGAAGGAAAACGGGGGCCAGTTATTGGCTGAAACTCACCGCATGCCAGATAATCTGCTAAGAACATTATACATAGAGTGTTTCTACCTTAATTTATGCAGGATAAAATTAAACTTACTAGCATAAAATTACTTCCTTTTACAGATGAAGAAACAAGCACTCAGAAAAGTTCACTTTTCTTAAGGTCACATGGACAATAAGAGACAGAGTGTGGACTCAGCCTGTCTTTTAGTCCTCAGTGAGTGTGTTCATGGCACCACGCTCCCCATGACGGGCAGTTGTTGAGGTCCTCTGACCACAGGACCAGCTCCCAATCACCCAGCTAGTTGGAACAAAGTCAAACCGAAAACTCGCAGATTATAATTTCCAGGCTCCTTTTATTATCTTCATTTTATTAATTCAACTTTTTTAAAGATTTAATTTATTTATTTTTAGAGAGGAAAAGGAGAGAGATAGAGAGAAACATCAATGTATGGTTGCTGGGGGTTGTGGCCTGCAACCCAGGCATGTACCCTGACTGGGAATCGAACCTGCGACGCTTTGGTTCGCAGCCCGAGTTCAATCCACTGAGCTACACCAGCAAGGGCTTAATTCAACTTTTTTGAATCAAATCATAGGCCATCTTAAGTTAAAGTATCAGTGTAACGCAAGAGTATCATAATTTCTCAAAAGAGGAAATGTGTGCATACGTACAAAATATTTTATCTTGTTTCTAAAATAGGAAGGATATTGCATCAACTTGTTTTGCAGTGGGGAAGAAGGGGTTTGCTGAGGGCTGTCTTATAGAGGTAAAGTATTGTGAACTTGATTTGGTAAAACAAAAATGTATCGAGGACTAAGATGTGCTCGGGGATATACTTGGTGTCAATCGGTGGGACGTCCGAGCCACAAGACTTGTGATCTCTGTACCTGCAAAATGTTCACGGTCTAGTTTGAGTGAGATGAGGCTAACGATGGTCTTAGAGTGAGAGGAGACTGATCATGGTGACAAATACAAGACAAATCATGCGTATAATAGTATAGGGTGGGAGTGTTGGAGGAGCTGGGGGAGAAGAGTGGCGAACGGGTGGTGCTCTGCTGAAGGAGGTTTCAAGCAGGGTGTGAGTCCTGGGCTGGGTACGCAGAGATCCTTCCCATTTCTTCAGGTGAGAGTGCCGTGCAGAGGGGGGATGCGAAGGTGCAATGAAGAATTGATAAGCCAGGATATGAAGGTTTGAAGTAAAAATATTGGAAAGTAAAATACATGCAAGTCCTTGTATTGCTGAGCTCAGCTGACGGCACCATGGCCCACAGACTCTCAAGTCACGGTCCCGTGAATCTTCTGAAATACCCTCAGCCCCACCTCTCACTCCCCGTCTCCCGTCCCTGAGCAATCACCAAGTCCTGCACACTTTGCCTCCTACGTTTTTGAGGGGTGATTTTACCATCTGCTTACTGTACTATCTTAGTCTCTCGTCGTCTCCCACTTGGACTCTGAGATACCCTTCGACGTGAGCTTCCTGTGTGTCTTCCAGCCTTGTCTTCCTCAAATATCCCCTTTAACACTATAGCTGCAATAATCCAAGCCATACCTGGTCACTTCCAGCTCAAAATCCATCAGTCGCTTCCTGCCGCCTCCTTGAGAGTTAGGATCGACTTCTGAGCAGGGCACAAAGGGCCACGGCTGCGTCTCCACACCCGGCTCCGGAATGGCACCTGGTGGAGGAGCGCGTCACTGTCTGTGCTCGCTGGTTTCACACAGAATCGCGCTGTTTCTCGTGCCCATGCCTTTCCTCCAGCCACTCATTCTGCCTGCAACCCATGTTGCATATTTTCCACCTTTTAATAACTCTAGCTTATTTACCAAGACTCAGTTCAGGGGTTAGCTCCCTCCCAGGATACTTTTCAGAACTTCCAGATTGGCTCAGTGCCCATTTCTTGAACCCCTCATGGGTATATTTGCACATATCCATGGTATCAATATATTATCTTTTCTGTTATATCTCTGACTATGTTCTAAGCTCCTCAAAGAAGGAGATGATGTGTCCTACCCATCTTCGTACCCCCATCACTGAACTCTGACACTCAAAGTGTGTTATTTATACTGTAGCTGTGCGACTGGATGCAGAAGCTGAGGTTGGACACGGCAGAGACATTCTGAGCTCAATGTGGTTTCAAAACACGGAGGGAAGAAGAGATACATATTTCAGTATTCATCTATTGTGTAACATGAATGTGAACTGGAAGAGGGTAGAAACCTGGGGATCTATAAGGCCATGACTGAAAAAAATCACTTTTAATTCCATGGGTCTTGACTGATGGCGGTGGCCATGTCTTAACCCTCCGTGAACGCCAGACCTGAGCCTGGGTTGGTGTGGGATATCCAAATTAAAATGAATTTCTTTCTTCACCCCTGCTTTGTATGTATGTAAATAGAGAGGTAGACTTCAGAAAGTTACAGGATTGCATTTGGAGAACCTAACTGTATGACACCTTAGAGAGCCACTTTTAAGATTTCTCAGGCACTTCTCACTGTCTATTAGTTTTCAAATTAAGGCAGCTTTCGTATGTGGGCAGGTGGAATCGTTTTCCCTGGGAGCTGAAGGCTGCTAATGGGCACACAACTGCAGCAGGTCTGGAGGCCTGGATGCACGACGGGCCAGCCATGAGCAGTCATTTCTCGGAAAATCTCTTGGAGAGCTACCCCCTGAGAAGCACCCTCCATCCCAGAAGCTGCCAAGTATTGGTTCTAAATACATCTAGTAGTTATCCTTTCAAGGAGCCAAGAGAAGTGTGGCTCTGCCTTTTCACCAATTAACGCTATTTCTTACCCTCAGCCCTGTCCCCTAGCTTGCTAAGTGACCACGACACATTTCTTGCTCCAGTGCACCTTTGTGATACTTTCTCATATGGGGCAGTAGCAGTGTGCAGCGTTTTGCATCCTTTTCAAAATGGTAATCCTTGGTAAAAACGATAATACTGTCAGCTTTGCATTTGTGCATTCTAACTGGAAACCATCATATACTAATATTAATAATGACATCTTAAAGTCCATTGTAATTACACATTACTACGGAACCAACCTTTCATAGTTAATACTGTTTGCATGCAATCCGGTTATGATATAATTTTTGATAGCACTCACAGACTCCTCTTACTTTCTTTTTTCCTTTTGGGAGGTGGACCATCACACATACATGTGCTGTGTTTTCTTTTCAGTTTTGCTTTTATCATCCTCCCCCACCCCAGCTGCCTTCCTTTCCTTCACCCTGGTCATCCTGATGCAGACATGAGTGGGACCTGTAATAGGGTGTCACTCTCACATGGCCCCCCTTAGTCTGGCCCTGTGGTTAAGTTCCTTCCTCTGGGTGTATCTGGCACTCTCCTCTTCTTTCTGTGACTCATTAGTCGATTTGGGGCAAGATCTTCTCTTCAGTTAACGCTAAGGTTAGAAAATTCTTATTCCAAGTGCATGTCTCAATGCCAAGGTTTCAGCAGTTGCTCTCCTACCTCTCCTTCCCCTCCCCCAGTGAAGAATTATGAATTAGAGTCAACTAAAGCAGAGAAGTCAGGAAGAAGTTAGAAGAAAATTGTCTTGTCTGCTTAACCCACCCCTGATGCAGCCTTACAACTTGCTTTAAAATCTTTCTACATGGAGAGAAAGAACACTAAATCAAACCTATTTTTGACTTCTAAATTTAGAATATTTGAAACTCAAAATTTTAGAATGCAATACTTCTACATTTCTCTGTGTTAATTCATCAAATTGTTGTTAGGAGCTAAGATTTTATTTCATTCCTGGTAAGTGTACAGAAAAAATGGCAAAATACATTGTGAAAAGCAGGCTGCCACAGCCTAGGCAGGAGAACCGTGAGCACTGAGACAGAGAACTCGGTGTTTCCAGTACTTTCACTTTCACAGATCAATGGGAAAAATATAGTTTAACAAGAAAACATGAAATAAAAGTGAACATTTCTCCTTTTAGCTCCTGATTTTATTGGATATGTCTTGTGTATGCATGTATTAGTTTTCATCAGCTATCATAAAAATTCCTAGTATATGCCTAGTACTTGATAGTTTATAATAAGTATTATCACATTAGTCATTTCACTTGGTAGTGAATCATCTGTTCAAAGTGAATAGAAATAGTTCTTATTTTAGCCCTATGGTGACCTATGAGGATTTTTTTTATATTGTACATTTTCGATTTGTTTTTCAGGTTCCCGAGTTTCCGTAAGAGGATAGTCTTAAAACAAAAGAAGAGAAAGAAGCGGTTTAATCTCTGGAGGTGCTGTCTCCTCGCTGACTGCTGCAAGTGCCTGGGATTGCTTTAGGACCGCAGAGATCAAATGAAGTTCAAGTGCGTTCCCTAGAGTGGCAGGGCCCTGCACTGCCTTGAGCAAAGAGTCCCTGCTGTTGGTTTCATGCTGCAGCAGGGGCCATGGCTGCCTCCAGGACGGCCTCTCGGGCTCCTCGGGACATTGCCAACGTGATGCAAAGGCTGCAAGGTAAGGGGCAGGAACGCCCGTTAGTTTTGGTGGTGGTGGTTGTTTTCAATGCATTTTGTGTACCCGCGTATCTCAGAATCTCTTCAATTTCCTTGTGTTTTTATTCAATGTTATAAAACAATACCAAGGAATAGCAAAATGTTGTTTACCCCAGTGGTTTCAAACGAGTCAATGCTATTTTCAGATTCTGTCTTCTTTATGTAGAAAAAAGACGAAGTTCTTATTTTGTTTGTCTGTTTTTTGTGTCTGTATTAGTGTGACCTTCATGGTTATTTAGTGTCCAGTGGGAATTCAGAGTTATGGCAAACTATTCTTCAATAACAAATGACAATACAGCACTGTGACAGTGCCCTGATAAGGTTAATTGTCAACAAATAATATGTTATTGTCAAATAAGTAAACCAGTAGCTTACTTACCCCACCAAGAAAGCCCTTAGAAATATAACAAAGTCTTTTTTTTTAAGATTTTATTTATTTATTTTTAGAGAGGGAAGGGAGGAAGAGAGAGAGAGAGAGAGAGAGAGAGAGAGAGAGAGAGAGAGAAACATCAATGTGCGGTTGCTGGGGGTTATGGCCTGCAACCCAGGCATGTACCCTGGCTGGGAATCGAACCTGCGACACTTTGGTCTGCAGCCCGTGCTCAGTCCACTGAGCTACGCCAGCCAGGGCCAGAAATATAACAAAGTCTTTAAGCAACAGGAGGCAAAGAGGCCCAAGGAGTGGAGTGACGTGATGGATCAGTGGTTAGTGGTGGCCTGTGGACTGCATCCCTTCTTTATCAGAGTTCTGTCTTTAAACACAGGCTGTTTTTTGGAAGATAATTAACAGTGAAGTGTTCTGGCAGCTCATAAATAATTCCTAATTGTGAATTTGCTTTAAACATGCATATCCCTTGAACCATAAAAATAACCCTCTTCTCTAGATGTAAAAATATTGCTTCTCTGTCACAATCCCCATGCTATGTCTCCTACACTTCAAGTGTATATTTTTAGGATGTAAAAATACCAACGTGAGCAAGGATTTGCTCTAGTCTTTGTCCAGAGAGCTTAAACATAATGTTACAGCTTGGCCTTCAGGTTTTCTAGAATCTGCAGCAAGTGACCAATGTGGTTTTGCACCACAGCCATCATATTAAACTGTCATTACCCCCACGTTTCCCGCTTGCAGCGGACTCCATGCGCACAGCGTTCATTTTCGTTAAGCACGCGTCATTTCAAATACAGGCCAAATGCTTAAATCTGGGTATCGTGGCCCAGAACGTGCTCCCAGCTTTAGGAAATCAGGAGATGCGAGAAAGTGGGAGTGCCTCCAGCCAACCAGAAACCACCAACTAGAAGTTCCTGCAGCCATGTGACTGCGCAGATTTTTGAAGCTTTAGTGCGAGTCATCCTTGCTTCACGTTTATTGTCGTAACATCCCACTTGAAATGCCAGGAGGAGCCTGGCTGGATGAAAGAACAGGCCTCTGTTGAATGTGCAGTCACAGACCTCCTCGGTAAGCAGGAGAAAGCTCTGACCGGGAGTGCCTGCCCGCTGCCATGCATCTCCGGTTTCAGTCGTACATCTTTACTTGGGGCGCTGGCACGCTGAACTTGGGGCTCATTTCTCTTTGTCTGTCTTGGCTGTTTGGGTGAAAGTTACTGGACCATTTAGTGCACTTTGTGCCTCAGTGATCCCATCTTTGAAAAAAGGGAAAGGAAACCTACAGATCCCTTACACACTGTGGAGGAGATAATTAGGTAATAAAGCAGATTTTCCTTTGAGTCTATTCAATGGGAAAATTCTCTGGGTGAGATTCACAATAAAGGGAAATAATAAAGAGTAAATTTGAAAAAAAAACTTAATTCAGAGGCAGATTCTAATTTTCCAGCCACTTTATTCCTATTTTGGTTTGAATGACAATTCTTTTAAGGTGATGGTCAGGTGTGAGAGGAGAATACTGATGCTTAGTGTTTTATTTTATATTTTTTGTGGTGGATCTATAGGTGGCTTTTTAAAAAGATTTTATTTATTTTTCAAAAGAGGGGAAAGGAGGGAGAAAGAGAGGGAGTGAAACATCGATGTGTGAGAGAAACATTGATTGGTTGCCTCTTGCACGCCCCCATCTGGGGACCTGGTCCACAACCCGGCATGTGCCCTGACCCGGAATCGAACAGGTGACCTTTCGGTTTGAAGGAGGATGCCCAATCCACTGAGCTACACCAGTCAGGGCAATAAGAGGCTTTTCTGGAGCCATCTGTCAAGTGGGGAAAACATTGGATCCCCCGCCCCCATCCCACACCTGTGACAGTGGACGTCTCAGTTAACTTCCATGTGTTTAGGGACCCCACTTGCAAAACGTGGACTGTTTTCCTGACTAGCCCTCTCGGGATTGTTGTCAAGCTCAGTGAGACAATAGATAAAAGGTGCTTTGGAGACTGTAAACACTGTGGCATGGTGAGCTGCTTCAATATCCATGGAAGAAAATTGGATGAGAAGGCACAGGCCTGAAAATGTGCAGCAAGTTTCAGATTTGGGGGGGGGGCAGGGAATGATAATGGTCTTATATATTATATGCTGTATAAAACTAGTAATTTTATCGTGCGGTGACTATACTTACTGTATTACTTTTTTCCTTTCTAGTCAAAGAAAATGTTATAACATGTCATAAAGGTACCTGACAAATTTAGAACAATAAACCTTACAATTTAGAAAGAGATAACATTCCTGAGCACCGGATAGTTATTATTAGCTGTAAGCATCAATGACTTCATTGTACACATGTATATATGTATATATACATACACATACATACAGCACATATTCGTATGATGGCTATAAAATGTAAGGTCTGTACAGGCTCACTCACCTTGCCTGCATCAGTGGAAACAAAACGAACTGGCTGGAAGAGAAGGGAATCTGGCAGATCTGTCTGCTAGCATATTGATCTGCCGGGTTAATTCTGCTGGTTCAGCTGGCGAGGTGCATGTCTCCTCCTGTTCTCAGTTGTCATTGTGCAGCTCACGGATGCTTCGGGCCCAAGCAAGAGCCTCCCCGGGCAGGCGAGACCTGGCGTCAGTCAAGGGTATTTAGTAACCCTGCTTGCCTGCTGGAACTTCCAGACCAGTGGCCGTGTCCTTTATAAATGGAGGACTGGCATCACTACCCAGATAATTAAGACATATGAGGGAATTTCTTTCTTTTTTTTTTTTTTAAGATTTTATTTACTTATTTTTAGAGGGGGAAGGGAGGGAGGGGGGGAGAGAGAGAGAGAGAGAGAGAGAGAGAGAGAGAGGGAGGGAGGGAGAGAGGGAGAGAAACATCAATGTGCGGTTGCTGGGGGTTATGGCCTGCAACCCAGGAATGTACCCTGGCTGGGAATCGAACCTGGGACACTTTGGTTCCCAGCCCGAGCTCAATCCACTGAGCTATGCCAGCCAGGGCTATGAGGGAATTTCTTTGAGGAAAAATAATCTTCTATTAACTTAAATAGAACCAGAGTTGCTATTTTCTTTTCTTTTTTTTTAAGATTTTATTTATTTATTTTTAGAGAGGGAAGGGAGGGAGAAAGAGAGAGAGAGAGAAACATCAGTGTGCGGTTGCTGGGGGTCATGGCCTGCAACCCAGGCATGTGCCCTGACTGGGAATCGAACCTGCGACACTTTGGTTCACAGCCCGCACTCAATCCACTGAGCTACGCCAGCCAGGGCAAAGTTGCTATTTTCAAAGTTCAAATTCATAAGAACGTTCTAGAATCCCCTTATCTTTGCCTGGATAATCTGGGTAACAAATGCTTTTCTCCTCTCTGGGGTGTTATTGTCACATCAGATCCATGTATCACTAACAAAAACACGTAGTTTTTTTTCTTTGTACCCTCATAGGCAGACAGCCATGTGGGGATGACCAGAGGGAAGGGGCGTGGGAGGAGGTAGGAGAGGATGAAGCAGGTGAGGAAAGGAGACTTGACCTGGCTTGTGAACACACACTACAGTATACAGATGATGTGTTGCAGAGTGGTACACCTGAAACCTATATAATCTTATTAACCAAGGTCACCCCAATAAATTCAATTTAAAAAATAAAAATAAATTAAATGTAAAATTCATTAAACATTTTAAAAAAAATTTTTTAAAATGCATGTAGCTTTGAATAATGGCAACTTGGCTTTACTCTCTTGCTTATTTAGTTCACAACCATAATTGTTGGCTGTTTCTCTGCTTTTAATTTTTATTTCTAGTGCTAGAAAATGAAAGCGTACACACAGATTGCTACATAATTTAGCTGCCATTGTAGCCATTCAGTATTTCACCGTTGCCAATATTTGTGCTTGTCCGAACACAGTGTTTCAGGCGGGATCCTGAATTATGGATGAGCAGACACACTGCAGTGCAGGGTTTCATTTGATCTTAAGAATAATGAGTGTTTGCATAACTTTTATCAATTTAAACATAACCTAAAAGGCCAATACAGGGCAACAGCATAATACAGGTGTATTAAAATTTTAAATGCACACAATTAATATATACATTTTCTGCTCTTGAAGGCTAAGGGCATCCCTTTTAACAAGTGACTTGTGGAGTCATTTTAGTTTATAGTTGCATCTAAAAAATAAATGTCTAAAGTCTTCAGATTATACATTTCTTGAAGATAGTGACAAGAGTTGAAGGCTCTTTGTAGTTTGCCATTTTGTGAAGATTCTATAGTGCTTTATAGTGCTTTTATATTCTTAAAGAGCTTTGAGAGATTACGCTTTCTTATTAAGCCACAAAACAGTGACAAAAATGCATTTATTGTATTCAGGCTGAAATTCTCCATCCGGTTTAATCTTCTACAGTGAATGTTGTACGATTGTATCTCACATTTAAATAGAACACAATTTTCAGCACAAAACAGCAATTGTTTCTCTATATTTTAGAACATTGTCGTAAAGTAAATGTTTGTTGAATACATGCGTCAATCACAGTCCCTAAATTAATGAGTTGAAGATGAAATTAGTAGAGACAGGTAATAGCAAAGGAAGAA